GAATTTACCGTTAACCATTTAACAGGTTTTTACTGTAGCATTTTTACAGTATTTTACCGTTAAATTCACGGTAATTTTTTACAGTGTACATGAAACGTATTATTATATTATTATTATTATTTATTAATTTATTATAAGCAACACAATACTTTAACAGTCCATGACATTTACAGCTGGGTAGACTGGACTGATTTTCTACTGTTGAACCAGTTAAGAGCTACATTTATCCTTAGATGTTATATGAACATGGTCCAGGTTTTATCAGCTGGCAATTTTCAATGCAAAATACTTCAGCTAAAATAATGTTGTTTTTTAAATAATATCTAAGTTAGTACTTGTTTAAAAACAATCACTTTAGCAAAGTTTGTACTATTTTCTGCTTATTTTGAAAAATAAAAGAATAAATTTTTGTTCTGTCATTAAATTTAACACTGTCATTAAAATGTTAATATAAAAATATATTTTAAAATACAAACACAAAATTATTTTAAAAAGTAAAGATTCTGAAAGCATTGAAGGATATCCCATAATAATTTAATATAGATTTACAGTAGTAATAACAAATGATATTTTATTATATGATATGATTAATATCATGTTTTTCAATATGATGGTTTCATTCTAATATGGACACCCAACATAATATATGATATTTACCATCTGAATCCTAAATCTGAATCTGAAAATCTGAATCTAACCATGTCATGTCAACAAATGGAAAAGTCAGCCATCTATTAATTATCATGTTAATTACTGCGCCTTTAGCCTAAAATCATTAAGAAGACCTTTGCCTCAAAATATATGCATTAATTTTAGCGATTCTCATTTGCTACTTAAATCTACAACATTTTAAAAACATAAAATATAAGATCAAGTAAGCACAAAATCAACTTAGTTGATTTTTCAACCTAGTTTCTGTCTCCCCTTGATTGTGTCATTAAGTTCAGGTGTGTCTTGTCAATTATCTTCATTTGCCAATGTATATGTCCTATTGTTCTACATGATAATTTGTTTATTTATATATACATATGTGTATTTTATTTAGGCTACACCTTATTTTTTATTATCTGTGTGTTGTTGTTGTCTCTGTGTACTGGAAGCTTGTGACATTAAAACAAATTCCTTGTATGTGCAAACATACTTGGCAATAAAGCTCTTTCTGATTCTGATTCTGACAGAGATGGGCATAAATACATGACAATGTATTGAAAATAAAAATAAAAATAAAATATAAATTAAAAAACATGGTTACAATAGTTAAACCATGGTAACCACAAAGTAACCATGGTTTTGCCACACTAACCATAGTTTAACCATATCTGTGGTTATACAAATTGTATAAAAAAAAAATATATAAAAAAACATTGTTACTACACTTTTACTACAATAAAAAAAAAAACACTAATTTTCGTAAGGGTTGGAGAACAATTACTCCATGTCGCCCCCTGTTGTTTCACAGAATTTTACAACAGCGAGCGAGTGAAGTATAAAAGCCTCGTCCGTTTAGGCAGGCAATAGTATAAATAAGGCGTCAACTAGTCCGAACCGTTGGCTGAACATCTGATGCATAGATATGTATATACCTGTCTATGGTCTGATGCATATGGCACACAAAATTGGAAACTCTTCAGGAGTTTCAAAGTCGCCATCTGATTGGTTGGAATTCTACTGGATTTCCGGGAGATGTTTGTTTCATGTTCTTTAACAAACATAAGGAAACAAAGATGCCGTGAAGCCAAACCCCCACATGGAAGAACAAAGCCCTTGTGTTTACAACTGTGACAATGAGCGCTTATCAGAATCAACTAATCGCTGGATTTTGAAAAGTATGTGAAATATGTGAAGTTTGCGGCATAGACTCTTTAAAGTACATCCAAGAGTTTTATACACCGGTCTGTTATTGTGGCAACATTTCCACACCCATAAACATGACAAGGCACTAAACGAAATCCAATTAGTTGCTTTACCTGTCAGTCATGTGGTCTCTTGGGCAGTTAGCCATTCAAAGCGGCCAAAGTTCCCAGACCTTCTGCCGTCAGTCTGAAGGTCTGGCTAAGCGAGACTAGGCTTCACCTGCACAGAACGCTTTCACTACGAGAGAAAGCAGCAGCTGTGCTGTGAATCCACCGCTTGCCACGTCACATGTGAAAGGGCCTTTAGACCAAAAGTATAGACCCACTTGATGGCATTCCACTCTGTCACGGAGCGTGTGCACCAAAAAAAAAACAAACAAAAAAAAAAACTGCCTGCCAACATGCGAGTGTAAATTTGAATTCCGTTTCGCGGCATAATAACACCAAGCACCTCACACTCAGAGCGAGAAGGGTCTGGCTGCAGCCTCGCACTTGCATTCTCAGAGAGACAAGACGCTGTGGTGATTTAATGATTAAAACTAATTTAGTACTATAATGTACAGGGTCCTGCAAGAAAAAGACAAGACCCGCAAATCCGTGACTAGAACAGCAGAATATGAACGCAATGCACAAAGTCTCTCAAGCGTTTTCCTCCTGTAGAAAAACATAAACACTTAACATGGCTTAATGTATTAAGATGCTATTAAAATATCTAATTAAATATACAATTTATTAATATAATGAATATGTTTATAGTATTTTCCTCCCATACCGCAAAACGTGGCATAATGAACTAAAAAGGCTAAACTCAATATGCTCCTCTACATTATTAATATACATAACTAATACGTACAGGCAAGCAGATGACTTCGCTAGCTGAAGCGCAAGTGTCTGAGAATGCAAGTCTGAGAGTGCAAGTGCGAGGCTGCAGCTAGACCCTCTTGGCTCAAAGCCGATCCTCCCTATATGCAAAATATGCAAGCTGTAGGGCCCCCGAAACACCAGGGGGCCCCCTTGCTCTCAAAAACGATTTAATTTTAGTTTCATTTTTGAATTTGGCCAGTATTGAAAACATGAATGATAATTTCTTTTAATGTGGTGCGCTGTCGCCCTTTCTACGTAAAAATCAGTCAAATCATGTAATGTGAATGTCGTACAGTCTTGCACGAGACTAAAAAACGAGTTGAAAGCGTACCGAGCCGCGGAAGAGACACTGTTTCTCAAGTGCTTTCCGCAAGAGCGATTCGAGACGGAGTGAAACACGGACAAATGCATTTCATTCATTCGTTCATAACCATTAATACCCCATTCCATCGCCCAATACAAATCCGCAAAATACTGATCTTAAATGTATTTAAATACAAAATACATTAGATTTTTTTTTTCAAAGGCTTTAAAATACAAAATAATATTTTGTATTTCAAATACATATTTTAAATACATGTATCTGAAATACTGCCCACCCCTGGATTCTAATAAGTTAAACTAAGTCCATGCAAAGAGCTCACTTAAACTAAAGCGTAATCATTTTTTATCTGAAGTCTGTAGAAACTGATGACTTTATAATTTTATGATCTACTTGTATATTATTTTCTTTTCTTTTTTTTAATCCATAGACGTTGACTTTGACTAAGTGTTGACTCTGTGTTTACAGGTATTCACAGGTGTGTTTTCTACCTGTGTTTCTGTTTATAAATGGAGGTGAGCACTAAAATGAAGAATTATTTGTAAAGCAATTCTACTATTCTTGCCTGCTGAACTTGATATATTTTATCATACTTTCTCTCTGTTTTCAGTGTCTCTGCAGGAGACTGTTGTGAGTTTTATTGGAGGCTCTGCTGTTTTACCTTGTTCTTCTAAAGATCCTCCGCATACAATTCAAGGCATAGGTGTGTATTGGAGACACAGCAGCCAGAATGTGTATGGCATTATTTATGGTAAAGTCTCTGTGGAAGGACAGGATCCAGAGTACAGGAGCAGAACTGAAAGCTTCCCCGAGGAGTATATGAGAGGAAACTTCTCCATCAAACTCAACAATCTTCAACACACTGATGCAGGAGAATACAAGTGCTACATCATAGAGGAATCAGTAGTCTGGAGAGTTAAGCTTTTAATTAAGGGTGTGTAAAACCACATCACTAAAACAGTTTATATTTCAGCCTATATTCTTTTGCGTAGACATTATGAAAGGATGCACTTATGTTTTCTTGTGTTTTTCCTCCAAAACTGTGTAAATCTTTTGTCTTCCAGAGAGACCAGAAAGGCCAATCCCCAGTGAAGGCACAAAACCAAGACCAGATGTGATTGTAATTATCATTTCCGTTCTGTTTATTGGTATTATATTTTCATTGGCTGTAAGTTCATTCAGCAACATGATCAACATGTACTTCATATTGTAATATATATAATTGATTGCTGATTTAATATTAAAGAAAATATTAATAATTTAAAAATGTTGTATTTATTTGAATGTTTTTATTTATTCAATCTGATGAAAATTATAGAACATCAAACAACTCAAAAGTAAACCACCCTGTTGACAAATTAGAGGGGAATTTATAAAAAATAATGTCACAAAATAATAAAAAATAAATAAATAAAAATCTTAATGGTCTTAAAATTAGGCCTAATGTTTATACAGAATATTATTCCTTATAAAAGAAAAGAAAATAAAATATTACATCTTCACTCATTCATCCCTAAATCATCAAATGGCACAATTTCCTTGTGTCAATATACAGTATGTATTGAATATACTAACTGAAAACTACACCTAGGGAAAACACTTATGATTATATATTGTGCAATGCCAAAGACAGCTTCATGTTAAGCAGAGACTTTTTTAATATGGGGCACAGGCAGTTACAGACAGTCTACAGTCACATTATTTATGATCTACTTCATGCAGAAACTATTTTTAAACACTTGCAACACCATTTTTTTCTTTTGAGGTGAATAAAATGGTGGTATTTGAGACACAAGGTCAAGGTGAAAGCATTTGGTTAGTTTACACATCCTGCTGCAGGTGAGACTTTGTGGTTCATTGTTTGTATGATGCAAAGCCAGTGAAACATTAAACATTTTACTGAGCTTGTCTCAGTTCCCCTTCAGGAACTCGAGCTGCTTCGAAGTCGCTTTGGGAACGCCCTTGCGTGACCGCGTTCTGAAGCACGTGTCAAATCAGTCCAATGGAGTAGCGAGAGCATGCACGGTCAGCTTTCGAGGAGCTGATTGTCACCACTGCGAGTTACTCTCTCTGCGTATGCTCCGCTCTCGCCTGACTGTGTTTGATGAGAGAGGCCAGGCTCGCGATCCCGCTGGCAGCGGTCCCGCTGTTGCCGAGGCACGGCGTAGACTGTTGTCGTGGGGATCGCGGGTGGATTTAGCGGAGGGATCCGAGACGGGCTCGTCCTTTTCTCGGTCCTCACCCGCTAGATCCGCGGATCTCTCTCAGTGTTCGGAAGTCCGCGCTGCGGTTTCTTCCCACCCCGCCAGAGAGAGAGAGCCAGACGCTTCATCTATCTTGCTCCGAGGAGGTGGATGTGATGAGTGTCGGGACAGAGGAGACTGTGGAATCGCCACCACAGTCCCTCGCGTATGAGGTGTGATTCGTGATTATGGGGTGTGTTTCGTGCATTCGCCAAAATAAAATACCATTTGGCCAGCCTAGAAACAGGACGCTCGTCCTAAAAATAATTAGACGAGCGTTTTCTGAATCCAGATCACAGCCTTCACGACGGGGGCCTTCCGTTTTTCCC